AGGTATTAACACCTTTCTGATGCCTTGTTGAAGCCAAACAGAAAAAATATCCCATGAGGTTTTTATGTGTGTGTGTTTTTAATCTAAAAAAATCCTAAATAGGATGCACTCAAATTAAAAATACTTAAAGATTAAGTTAAAAGTATTAACCATATGTTGCTTGCAATAAGATGAGTAGACAAGTCTCACATTTATGCACAGTTCATAACTACATATGATCTCCAAAAAGTGACAGGCGTATATATTGTACAAAAAAGACTTTATACATATCTTTATCAATATTAATATTTTCTGTCAACATACATTCACCTTGCCATGCTCACTTTTCATAATTAGTATCTCAAGAGCTTTAATTATCTCTTAAAAATTTAAGTATTGACATTTGTTTTGTTTCATGATTGTTTACCACTAACATATATGTCAATTTTGTTTTTCCATGTGTGGTGACATGGGTCACTCATCATTAATAAACTGACAAGTCTATTATCCAAGCTGTAAACACAGTAGGTTTTTAAAACAAACTTCAAAGATGAAATCTCCTCTGTGATTTCCTACACAGTGTACACATCAATAAAGTTGACTCTATGTTGTCACTTTCCTCTGTTAAAGCTAACTTGAGTTATGCACTCCACGTTACGCACTTAAACTCACAATATTCTTCTAAGAACCTGAGTTGAAAGTGAGCAAGTATTTAGAATGTTCACCATTCTTTGGAAATCCAATATATATGCTAAGCTGTTGTATTTATAAAATAGAAAACAGAAAAGAGATAGAAATATTCCTCCAGCTCATTGCTTATGTAATTTATATTTAACCCTGTTGTTGCTAATGGTCTAATATAATTCATTTAAGCTTAATAATACCAAAAATTATTCATCTTAATATTGACTTAGCAACTTAATGTAGATCAATATCTTGGATGGGATGTTCTTTAAAAAAACTGAGTTAAAAGAAAATGGCTCAAGTCACATAAAGCAGTCTAAGATTTATGTGTGTAAAATAGGTTAAAAGATGTCATATTATCTGAACCATTTTTGAAAAAGAAAATAGCTTACAAAACTAAGCCAATTTCCTGTCAAACATTTGTAGGCAATGTTTACAACTTTTGTCTTCTAGGGGTGGAAGATGTGTTTAAGATACAGGAACAACTGAAGACAGACAGTAATATCTATGGGACTACATGTAAATATCTTTAGCTCAAAATATAATATTTGTGATTTATATCTTACACATAATATAGGTCATACTGTATATTTAAGCATTATAATTCAATCATTATCTCAATGATCCTACTAATAAAGTTAATAAAAATATTTACTATAAGCAAAGAGCAGATGAAAAGACAAAAAGCATAGTCACTATCCTCAAGAAATTTGAAATCAAATTAGTGATGGCAAAGGGAACATAGTACAAACAACTTACAAATGCTATAAATTAATTCAGTAATTGGAAGCACTAAGGCAGTAGCAATAGACAAAGCCAAGTATTTTAGGAGATATTTTAATAGTGAGATTGACAATATCCTATGCCTCAAAAAATGTGAGTAAAGGGAAGAATCAACTGTTACTGAAACTTCTTGTGGTTGTAATTGGGTGAACTGACTTCCATGACCCAAGGTGGTTATGGAAAATTTGGTTGGAAGTATAGTATTTACTAGTAGTTTGGAGTTTATGGAGGTTAAAATAGTTGCTGTTCACTCACCAAAATTTCTAATGTTCCAGACATTCAGTAGAAATCTTCAGAAGGCAACTGAAAATGAGTCTGTAGTTGAAATAAGATTTGGTAGTTATTAGAAAAGATGTGGTAACTGAAATTATGGTTGATCTCTTTTATTGAATAAAATTTAGTAAGAAACATAATCTTTGAGCTTGCCATTGGAAACTGAATATAAATTCCATAAATAGAGAAGGGAGACAAATATTGGAAATACCAAAGGTAAAAGAATGAATAGATTATATTATCTTTCAAATATGCTAAAAATCATAAGCAGGAACAGACACATAAACCTTTACACACACATATGCACACACATATATAAAAATAATGTTACTTATTGCTGAATGGCTAAAAACTAATTCTCTTTTAAGGGGGAAATTGGTAGGTTATAGTGTTCCAACTGTAACCTGCTGGTGGTAGTTTTCTTCATTTTTTTAACCCAATTTTTCAATATTGTAAAATAAGCATGATATTTTATCACGTTCCCTAGTGATGAACTCTGTTTTTATGCTATATATACCTCCTTATTTTTTGAAAATATTTTAATTGATTTCAGAGAGGAAGGGAGAGGGAGAAAGAGACAGAAACATCAATGATGAGAGAGAATCATTGATCTGTTGCCTCCTGCACACCCCCTTTTGGGAACCGAGCCCACAACCTGGGCACATGCCCTTGACCGGTATCGAACCCAGAACCCTTCAGTCCGCAGGTTGACACTATATCAACTGAGTAAAAACGGCTAGGACTAAACCTCCTTATTTTTACCTTCATCCTTGAAGGATTTTTACCCCCATTGGATATATAATTCTAGTTTGGCTTCTATTTTTGACTAGCTATTTAAGTATATCACTCCACTGTGTCCTAGCCCTTATTATGTTTGCTTGCTGACTTCTTGCTGCTCATTTGCAAATATTACGTATAATTTTCCTTTTAGGATTTTTCTCTAAGTCTTTCATTTTCAAATTTAACTTGGATATGCTAATCTGTTGTTTTTATAATTATTATTAGGGTTCTTAGAACTTCCTCGATCTAGGGGTTAATGTCTTTCCCAATTTTGAAATTCCAGTCATTATTATATTAAATATTGCTTCTTTCCTACTTTCTTTCTTATCTCCTATGACTCCAATTATTATTATGTTAGATATTTTCATTTGCTTTATGTGCCTTTTATAATGTTTTGTATTTTTTTTTTATTTTTGCTATGCATTTCAGTTTATGTTTTCTATTACCCTATTTCCAGTTCATTAATCCTGTCCTATCTAATCTTTGTTTAATCCAATTTATTTGTTTATTTTTAAAATCCTTACCCAAGGATTTTTTTTAAATAGAATTTAGAAAGGAAGGAAAGAGAGAGAGAGAGAGAGAGAGAAGAGAAAAATATAAATCTGTTGCCTCCCATATGCGTCCTGACTGGCAATCAAACCCGCAACCTTTTGATTTACAGGAAGACGCTCCAAACAACTGAGCCACCAGGCCCAGGCTCCCATTTATTAATTGTCGATTATTATTTTCACTTATTAAGTTCCATTTCATTTTTTATATTATATGCTAAATCTCTGATGAATACCTTTATCTTTTTGTCTATGTTCTTAATCTTCACTTTTAACATATTATTATAGTCCTTTGAGAGGTCTTGCTTGTTCACCATAATATCTGTTTCAGCTATGTTGTATGTGTTTTTCCTTTAGCTTTTGGTCTTATTGCCCAGTCTCATGAATTGACTATATATGTTTTATTTAATGCAGAAAATTTTGTATAAAAAAGGTGAAGCAACCTTCCTCCAATGAACACTTATCCTTTCTTTTGCAAGGCTAATTAAGTTGGATTTATCACTTTACTTGAATAAGGGACATATTTGAGAAGGGGCTATGTTTGCCTTACTCCCAGAACATAGCTTTTCATTTTTTCATTTGAGAACCTAAAGCCTGGTGTGTTCATGATGGCATCTTTCCCTGTAAGTCCCCAAATTCTAACTCTTGATTTCTTAGCATGGAGAGACTGCCATAAATTGTGTCTTCCAAGAAGCATTTTAGGACTCAACTCAAATATCTTCTAAATTTGGCAAATGTCTTAAGTATATAGCAGAATTCATGAGGTTCAGTTTTTCAACATTCCCTTATCACCAGGATGTTTTCATCTCAAGCTTGCAGTTCTGATTTTTCAGCCACATGAACCTGGATTTTTTATCTACTAGTGGTGGCCTTCTGCCAAGGAAAGATCTTGGTTCTTAGGCCCATGCCCTAACCTAGTGATGTCAAACATTCTCAGGGAACAGTGGCTCAAACAGTTAACTGACCTCAACTATGGATTCGCTCTTACCCCCATTCTGTAATACTAGCCCCTAAAATCCTAGTTGCTTCAACTGTTCTCCAAATGTCTTTTATTCAGTGTTGTTCTCCCACAAGCTACTCCATCATATGCTTAAGTACAAGTCTTAGAAAAGCTGCTAAAAAGGCAATTTGAAAACATAAATCAAATTAAATATTAAGAATATTAAATTTTATAATCCTTTAGTTCACAAGGTTGTTTTAGAGTTTAAGTAAAATAAAAAATGGAAATGATATAAAATTATGGACATATTTATTGTTTTATCATTACTGGGAAACTAAATTTAATTTTATAATTTCTTAGTATTCAATATTGTATTATTCATGGAGGTATATTAATAGATAGTGATTACTGATTATCCAAAAACAGAAAAATAAACAGGTTAATATTAGAATTAGCTCTAACCTCTTTTTCAATGTGGTAATATGGGGTGAGCAACATACAAAATAACTCAATGGGTAAAGGCAGTCAAAGGGTATAGGCATTCAGTTATAAAATAAACTAGTGCCCCAGTGCATGAATTCATGCACCTTGAAAGGAACTGTGGGCTGCGAGGTTGCGGTAGGCACAGGGGCAGGTCTCGGCCCATCCTCTGGGCCCCTGCCTGGCCCCAGGTCCCTGTCTGCTGGCAGCCCTGCTCCCACTGCTACTCACACGCACTGACGGTGCCAGCAGCGAGTGCAAGTGGCGGCTGCTCCCCCAATTGCCCCTCAGGAGCAGGGGGAGGTGGAGAAGCCCTCAGGGGTGGGAGGGGCGGGCACATCATAGCAACCAGTTGGTCCAGATGTTCCACCGTTCGGTCTATTTGCATATTAGCTTTTTATTATATGGGATAAGTCATAAGTATATAATGTACAACATGGTGATTATAATTAATAATACTGTATTGCCGGGCATGGTGGCGTGCTCCTGTAGTCCCAGCTACTTGGGAGGCTGAGGCTGGAGGATCGCTTGAGCCCAGGAGTTCTGGGCTGTAGTGCACTATGCCGATCGGGTGTCCGCACTAAGTTTGGCATCAATATGGTGACCTCCCGGGAGCGGGGGGCCACCAGGTTGCCTAAGGAGGGGTGAACCGGCCCAGGTCAGAGACAGAGCAGGTCAAAGCTCCCGTGCTGATCAATAATACTGTATTGGATATTTGAAAGTTGCTATGAGAGTATATCTTAAAAGTTTTCATGACAAAAAAAAAAAGCAGTCAAGTGCATTGAGGAAAGATTAGAGAATGAACATGGTTATCTGTTAATTATGGACTTCATCTATAGCAGGAAGTAAGGAAATGATCCAATTCTCTCCAAGTTTCTGGAGAACAGCATGCTTGGTATTGTAAAGGGACGTGAGATTAGTAGAGTATATAATTTTACTAAAATGAAATATACATGAGCATATATATGTGACTATAACCTGTGGGTCTATGTTTTATCTGTGATAATTTCTGAATCATCTAAGGAAATATGAAATTTATAATTCACATTTATATAAACACCTCCATCTACAAAAATAGTAGTTAAAATAATTGCAAAGTTAGTTATATCATTTTAAAAAGGGATGGAAAAATGGGGCCTGTTCTGTCTTTGCCTAGAAACTAATATGCATGTCTGTGTGAAATTGGATATGAATGGTGGTAATATCTAGATACAAAATCCCCAACCAAAGGGACTACTTTGAATAAGATCAGCTATAAAATTTAACAAATGCTTCAGACATTTACAACTCTGCAAAAATATAATGGAACCTATACCTAATACTTATATTAAACTGCAGATTTTATGTAGTGAAATGCTGTGCCCAATGAATTAGAAACGCCCTTATCAATCTTATGGTGAAAATGAAGATAACTGACAAAAAGTTCTGTTTGTTGTAAAGAATAGGGTAAAACACTTTATGTTGTAGTGACAAAAGCTCATACATTTCCTTAAAATAGTAGTACACATGTGACAGACCAGAAGAGCAGGACTTTCTGATTATAAAACAAACTTAGATTTCAATAAAAATAAAAGATTATGTTTTAAGATATCATACAGCATTACATCCTACTCTAATTCAATGATAGTGCACTGAAAGCTTGAAAAATACATTTTTTGACACAAAAAGCTCATATTTGAGGTGGGTAATAGTTACTATGGATGTAACTCATTGATTTTGTATGGACTGCATCATGTAGCAATTTTCCCTCCATTCTAATACAACACACTATCAGAAAAGAAGTAGAATAAGTTTGATCTGGCTAATATTACGCACTTCAGTCAACAGAAGTATATTCAAATGAAGAAATGAGATAGAAAAGAGATTGAGAATAAAAATGTTGTACATACAATTGCTTCCACATTTTTAGAAACATTATATACATTACAGATAATCTTTGTATAATAAATAAGATGTTCACTAAAAAATCATCACAATACTACCTTCAGGTAGTTATTGTTAAAGTCTGAGTATAAACAGGTTAAATCAGTCAGTGCCTCTGACCCTGCAACATAAAATGTGGGACTTGGACCAGTTGACTTGCCTGATCACACACGTGACTAGTCAGCAGTGCTGCATTGAAAACAGTTTATTTTCATTATCACATATATAGCAAGACCTGACCTATTTTTTTTCTCTCTTTCTCCTACCCCAAAGCCTTTTCATAAACACATCACCCCTTTCCCTCTTACTACTCACTGAGGAAAGAATTTACAGAGCCACTACTTTTTGGTAAGTATTACACAATTTGTAAGGGAATTTAACTAAAAAGACTATGTTGAAAAAAATCACAAACTTTTCTGACAGATGGGGAGGAGAGGAAATAATAACTCCTCAAGGTTGGGTCGGGAGGCAGAGGTTTGGGGTTTGGTTTGTGATGATTCTCAGGCTGGTGTTACTAGAGAATTGGGCAGTGAAGTTTCTGAGTGACATTGCCGTAGGATATGAACAGATCCCTTTCAATGCTTTTGAGACATGAGAGTAAATGTTTTCAATTGTTTTAAATTAATTCATGGTTGGGACCTTGAGCCTATTTAAATGTCAGCCTTCTCTAAGTCTGCCATTGTAGAACAAACTAAAGAGATGGAGATGAAAGTATCAGTCAGGAGGAAGTAGACACATGAGTGGACAGAGAGAAAATGGTGGGAAGCAATCGAACAATAAGTAAATCCAAAAGGGACAGCAGTGATCAAATAGGGATAAGGACCAGGAGTCACTGGGAAAATATATGCACATTTTAACACCTTAGGAGTATTCACAGCCAACACCATCATTTCCTTGTCCCTCTGGGTAACTAATTAGCATCTGAAACTTCACAAGTCTAGAACCAAATTCTCGATTTCTTCCACCAGCCTTTTTCTTTTCCTGTTTTAACTGTCTCAGGTAATAACAATTCTTTTTACCAGTCACTCAGACCAAAATACTTGAAATCATTCGTAAGTCCTCTCTTTTTCTCAATTTCCACATTGAATTCCTCAAGTCCTATGTGCTCTATTTTTCTAATACACCCAGAATTTAACCGTTTCCTGTTACCCATACATCAGCACAACTCTCTGGAACACTGTCATGGTTATTTTACATAATTCTCTTCCTTTTGGCTTCGACCTGACTCAGTTGTCAGGAATTCTTTTAAAATATAATTCATCCCAGCCAGCTTGGCTCAGTGGTTGAGTGTCGACCTATGAACCAGGAGGTCATGGTTGAATTCCCTGTCAGGACACATGTTAGGGTTGTGGGCTCAATCCCTAGTGTGGGGCGTGCAGGAGGCAGGCAATCAATGATTCTTGGTCATCATTGATGTTTCTATCTCTCTCTCCCTCTCCCTTCCTCTCTGAAATCAATAAAAATATATTTAAAATATATATATACTAGAGGCCTGGTGCACAAAATTTGTGCACTGGGGGGGGGGGGAGAGGGGGTCCCTCAGCCCGGCCTGTGCCCTCTCGCAGTCTGGGACACCTCGGGAGATAACGACCTGCTGGCTTAAAGACCGAGTGGCAGAAGGTAGGCCCAATCCCTAGGTGCAGCCCCTGGTCGGGCTCAGAGCAGGGCCGATTGGGGAGTTGGGGCACCGCCCCGTGTCATGCACAGAGCAGGGCCCATCAGAACGGTTGGGGCTCCGTACCCCGTCATGCACAGAGCAGGGCCAATCAGGGGGTTGAAGACTCCCCTCTGTCATGCACAGTGCAGGGCTCATCAGGGGGTTGGGGAGCTCCCCCCGTCACGCTGATCCCAGTGCCAGGAGGCCTTGCAGCTCTGCTGATCCCGGTGCTGGTAGGCCTCGCTGCTCTGCTGATTCCGGTGCTGGGAGGCATATTACCCTTTTACTATATAGGATAGAGGCCTGGTGCATGTGTGGGGGTCAGCTGGTTTGCCCTGAAGGGTGTCCTGAATCAGGGTGGGGGTCCCCACTGGGGTGCCTGGCCAGCCTGGTTGAGGGGATGATGGTTGTTTGCAGCTGGTCACACACCCTTCAGGGTGGGGGTCCCCACTGGGGTGCCTGGCCAGTCTGGGTGAGGGGCTGAGGGCTGTTTTCAGGCTGGCAGGTGACTGAAGCTCCCAACCTGTCCTTTCTTTCTTTTTTTTTATTCTAGGCCAGCTTTAGCTCTGAGGCTTGGCTCCAGCTCTGAGGCCTCAGCTGCTGAAAGCAGGTATCTGGTTTGTTTGTGTTCTATAATTGTAACACTGTTGCGGTCCTGCTCATTCCAGCTCTGAGATCCCAGCTGGCTGAAAGCAGGGATCTGCGTTTGTTCTATAATTGAAACAATGTTGCGGTCCTGCTGGCTGAAGCCCAGCTGGCTGAAAGCAGGTTTCTGGGGTTTTGTTTAGCATCTATATTTGTAACAATATTTCTTAAACTGCAAGCTCAGAGGCCGGCAAGGCAGGCAGGGAACACTGCAAGCCTCCAGCAAGGCAGGCAGAGAACGTTGCAAGCCTCCGTCACTGAAGCAAGCAAGCCTCCTGTTCGCTTCAAGCTGCCTGGCTGCCGGCCGCCATCTTGGCCGGCAGTTAATTTGCATATCGCCCTGGTTAGCCAATGGGAAGGGTAGCAGATGTGTGGCTAATTACCATGTTTCTCTTTTATTAGATAGGATATATATAATTCAGATCATGTTCTTTTCTGCTCAGACCTACCAATGAATTTTAGTTTACTTAGAATAAAATCCAAAGTCCTATCTATGACCAATGGATCCTACACATGTCTATCCACACTAGTTTTCTGATGTTAACCTCTACTTTTCACATACTCCTTCTTCCTCACACTCTTTCATTCCATTATCACTGTTTTTCTTGCTGTTTGTCAATCACGTCACACAAACTTCTCAAAGCCTTGCCATTGTTACTATTTTTGCTTGGAAACCTCTTCTTTCATATATGGGCATAACTGCTCCCTCAGTCATCAGATGTGAATTCTTAGAATCTATCCTCATCCTACACATTATTTATTTGTTTATTTTTTTTTGTCTCCACTTTGAGGTAAGTTTCCTGATGCTAGGAATTTTAGTTTATTGCTATACCCTCAGTACCTAGACTTGTGCTTGACCCACAGTGGACCCTTACTTAATGTAATATTTGTTAAATGAATGAACACCTCCACCAATGAAATCACTTTAGTATATTCCAGTTATTTGTTTGCATACAAAAATAACCACAAGACCTTGGGATTCTTGAGGATATGGCATACTTTAATTTGGATAATCCAAAAAGCACATGCCAAAATAGAAGTGCAAAGGCTTTATTCTGAAGAATGCCTATGAAGGATAAGGAGTGAACCAGAGAGGATATGAAGAGCTTTTGGGCTGCAGTGCAGGTCTGATTTCTGTAAAGGAGAATAGAAGAAAGAAGAATGGGAGAAGAAGAGTCATAGATGGCAGTATAGTGGCACGAAAGATCCAGCCAGACTGATAGGGAGTCCTTGGCCAACATAGTCATTTAAAATAGCCTCTTATGTCCCAGCAGTGGGCCTGCATTATAAGCTCAGTGTACACAGTAATGGTGGGAGGTGTGGATTAGAAGCAAATGTAATGGTAAACCCAGCAGCTAGGGTCAGAGTCAGCTATGTTTTCTATAACAAGAGATCTGAGCAGTGCATTTCATAGACACCGCAGGACCTAATGTTTAATATC